TAAGAACAACACATAAATAAAAACCCACCCAAAATAATTCCTCACTAATTTTTAAAAAAAGTTATTACTACAAAAAAAAAAAAACACCCCAAAGAAAAAAGATATTTAGGATTTCATGACTATAGTGGGATATTTAAATCAGTGTTTTTATAATTTATAATACCAAATTACTTCAAACTAGATGCTAGATTTCCGTCTTTAATATGTTCTATTGGCGTATATATATATATATATTGATAAATCATATGGATCTACGCATCTAGATTTGATTTAATATGTAAAATACGTTTCTTTCGACAAACAAAAAGAAAAGATCAAAATATAAATTATGAAACCCTAAAATTATTTTTATATGATCTATTAATTACAAGTAGAAATGATGAAAATAACTATTTATTACTAATAATATTGGCATTACATTAGAATAGATTACTTGCTGAGTAGTATTACAATTAAAATTGTTTTTTTAGTGGTAATCGTTTTTTTAACAACTTTGACATATAGCAAATAAAAAAAATTATATTTATATATAATAATTATAGTTTATATAATTGTGCTACATAGCAAACATATATATGTATAATCCGATATACATATACAAATAAAAGTTATGCTTATACAAAAGAAGCAATTGTATAATTCGTAGATTCCTTCAAATTTGAATAATTTAATTGGTATACCATTTGTATAAAGTGTTGTTAGCCTCTCGTTTGTATAAATTGTTGACAACTTCTTAATTCAAATTTATGTGTTTGTATATCTGTATAAAATTTGAATTTCTATACAATTGAATCGAAATGAAACGTTTCTATATCAAATATCGCTTTCTCTTTTGCTTTATACAAATATAAATTATACATTATATTTTGTATAATCTGTGTTTGTGTAAAACGAAAAAGAGAGAAAGGCTAAAGATAACTGGACAACAAACTATTTGTATTATATAATTAGAAGTGTATATAACGAAAATATATGTATTTGCATGTATATATATATATAATTTTCTCTCGCTTTATACAAATAAAAACACAATTCATACATTTCTCTTCTATAAAGAGAGAGAAACGAGCGACAGGGAGCGCGCGAGAGAGAAAGAGTGACGAGCGAAAATTTGAGGGAGAGAGTCAATTGACAAACAATTTGCTATGGAACATAATTAAATCAAACGATAGCTACTGTATTTTATTTACATTATTAATCTCTCAAAAACAGCAGATGGAAGTATTCCAGATTGAAGCGAAAAGTTGCTTTTATTGAAAAAATAATACAAGAATCATCCAAAAAGACTAATAGTACAGCTAATACGTTTTGTTAACAGATTCACAAAGTTGGCGAAGTTGACAAACTTTTCAAGCAGACATGTTCCCATTCATCAAAATGGTATGGTAATATGCATCCTCATTTATCTATTATCTAAATGTCAAAATTTGACTGATTGTTCATATGAGAAACTGAATGACTAAATCATTAGCTAACTATATGATTATGTTTATATTTAATTGTTCAAATTGACAGGCCATTACACAACAACTTGGAATTTTGGCCCCCCAAAGTACACATGCCAATATTGTGGAGCTCTTTTATGGTATGAAGAACGAACAACAAAAACAAAACAAACAACAAGACCGATATTCTCATTTTGTTGTATGGGAGGAGGTCGTGTACAACTTCCTTTATTGAGGGAACCACCACCTTATCTGAAGTATCTTTTGGGTAAAGAATCAGGGCAACTAGGTATTAATTTTTCGAAAAAATATTAGAGCTTATAACTCAATGTTTGCATTTACATCCATGGGTGGCCGAGTTGATGGATCTATCAATCACTCAAAGGAGCCATACGTTTTCAGGATGTGTGGTCAGAATTATCATCGTATAGAATCTTTATTGCCTGAAATTGGTAAAAGACCCCAGTTTGCTCAGCTATATATATATGATACTGAAAATGAGATAAACAACAGAATGAATTGTCTGCTAGAAGGAGACATTGATCCTGAAATTGTTCAGGGCTTATCAGTAATGTTGGAGGAGCATAATATATTGGTTAAAACATTTCGAATGGCTAGAGATAGATATAAAGAGCATCATGAATGTGAATTTCGCCTACGTCTCCTATCTAATAGGACAACGGATGGTCGACAATATAATTTACCCACAACTTCTGAAGTAGCTGGATTAATAGTGGGTGGTCTTACGGAAGAAAACTTCCAGCGAGATATTATTGTAGAGCATAGGAAAAATGGACTTCAAAGAATCTCTGATCTACATCCAAGTTTTATGTCTATGACATATCCACTAATACACCCTTATGGTGAAGATGGATATAGAGTTGGAATAAATTTGGGAGATGTCATCAACAAGACTTACAAGCGACAAAAATTAACAATGAGAGACTTCTATTGCTTTAGAATACAACAAAGACTTAACGAGGGTAAGACTCTCTTGCTTGCCGGTAGACTATTACAACAATACAATGTTGACGGTTACATGGCAATCGAGGAAGAAAGATTTCGTTATATTCGGAATAATCAATCAAAACTCAGAGCTGATCTTTACTCTGGCTTAATGGATGCCATTCTTCGTGGTGATTCAGATTGTTCTTTGGTAGGAAAAACAGTTATCTTACCTTCATCTCACACCGGAGGACCTCGCTATCGGGCACAAAATTATCAAGATGCAATGGCAATTTGCAGGTGGGCTAGATATCCAGATTTGTTCCTCACTTTCACATGCAATCCAAAGTGGCCCGAAATAAATGAAATGCTTCGCTTAATAGAACAATCTGGTGATGATAACAGGGTGGACATTATATGCAGAGTCTTCCAAATCAAGTTATTCCAATTAATGCAAGATCTGAAAAAGCAACAACCTTTTGGAAAAATAATTGCATGTAAGTTCAAACTTCAACATACTAACAGAATACACCAGTTATTAATTCAAGCGTTTACATTTTTCTAAAAAAACAAATGATTACTTTACCGTCAACCTAACAAACACATTATACCTTTAACTCTGCAGGTTTATATACAATTGAGTTTCAGAAAAGAGGACTACCTCATGCACATATACTACTCTTCCTGCATCCTACATTAAAAAGTCCATCTATAGATCATATCAACACAATGATAACAGCTGAAATACCCAATATGGAAGTAGACCCGGATGATTATAAAGCTGTAAAGAACTACATGATGCATGGACCTTGTGGAGACCTCAATCCAGGATGCCCATGTATGAAGCAAGGAAAATGCACCAAGCGTTTTCCAAAGAAGTTCAATAATCAAAAAACTTTTGATGCAGATGGGTTCCCAATTTATAGGAGAAGAAACACAGGTACTGAAGTCAATAAAAATAATGTCTTTTTAGATAACAGATATGTCGTCCCTTATAACAGAAATTTGATTGTCAAATTTGATGCACATATAAATGTTGAGTTGTGCAGTTACTCGAGATCAGTGAAGTACCTATTTAAATATGTGAATAAGGGATCTGATAAAGCAACAATTGGTATAGAACGCTCAGATACTCCCACAGTACGTGATGAGATCAAAAGATATCTAGATTGTAGATGCATATCAGCTACAGAAGCTTGCTGGAGGATCTTTTCGTTTGACATACATCATAGACAGCCAGCAGTTGAGCGTTTGCCATTCCATTTACAAGGAGAAAACACCATAGTATTCCAAGAAGAAAGGTGTCCTGAAAGCATACTAAACAGACCCGATATAGTAAAAACAAAATTCACGGAATGGTTTGAGGCAAACAAAGAATATGAGGATGCGCGAGAGCTAACATATTCAAATTTTCCTACACGTTGGGTCTGGGATGCAACATGCAAAAGATGGACTAGAAGAAAAAAGGGGAAGTCAGTTGGTAGAATTTACTTCGCACATCCTGCAAGCGGGGAAAGATTTTACATGAGAATGCTACTTAATTTTGTCAAAGGAAGCACTTATTTTGAAAGCATCAGAACAATTAATGGAGTCCGGTATGATACTTATAAGGAGGCATGCTACGCATTGGGATTATTGGAGGATGATAAAGAATGGAATGACTGCTTGGCTGAAGCTGCATGTTGGGCATCAGGAAATGAGTTGAGAAATCTGTTTGTGACGATACTAATTCACTGTCAAGTGTCTGATTCGTCCAAACTTTGGAGGAGCAACTATGAAATTTTATCAGAAGATATAACATCATTACAACTAAAGAGATTTCAATTGGAAGATTTAAAGTTAAATGAAAAACAACTTGAATCATATACGTTGTTTGAGATAGAAACCATACTTCTGAAGATAGGAAAAAGTTTGAAAGACATACATGGAATGCCACTTCCAGATTCCACTTTGATGAATGACACAGGTAATCGCCTTATCAATGAGGAACTAGAATATGACAAAGGTTTCTTAAAGGAAGTACATGATAAATCATTCGCTCTTTTAAATGATTATCAAAACATAGCTTATGAAGCAGTAATAAAATCAGTTGTTAATGAAGAAGGACGCTTATTTTTTTATAAATGGGCATGGTGGTACCGGGAAGACATTTTTATGGAATACAATAATTTCCAGGCTGAGATCAGAATCAAAAATAGTTCTTCTAGTTTCTACTTCTGGAATAGCCGCTTTGTTATTACCAAATGGCAGGACAGCACATTCACGATTCCATATTCCTTTGGACATTAGTGCAAAATCAACTTGTGAAATAAGACAAGGAAGCCAGTTAGCCGAACTACTTTTGAAAACATCTTTAATCATTTGGGATGAAGCGCCAATGGCAAATAAATTTTATTTTGAAGCCTTAGATAGGACCTTGCGAGATATCCTTCGATTAAAATATGAAAATACCGCAGACAAACCATTTGGAGGCCTAACAATGGTATTTGGTGGTGATTTTCGTCAAATACTACCGGTGATTCCAAAAGGAACACGAGCTGTATTTTAGATGCATCACTCAACTCTTCATATTTGTGGCCATTCTTTAAAATTTATGAGCTGAAACAAAATATGCGACTTTGTTGTGGAAAAGTATCTGATTCTGAAGCCGCTGAAGTTACTACTTTCGACAAATGGTTGTTACAAATTGGGGATGGATCCTTTTATAGTGATGTTGACAATGACCTTATTAAAGTGCCTACTGATATATGTATAATGCCATCCAATGATCCAATTGGATCAATCGTCGACGCAGTTTACCCGTCCCTCTTGCAAAAGTACAATGACCCAACATATTTGCAAGAAAGAGAAATACTTACTCCTAAAAATGAAATGGTCCATGAATTGAATGATACAATTATGAAAATGATTCAAGGTGAAGGAAGAACATATTTTAGCTCTGACAATGTGTGTAAATCAAGTGTGAACACTAATGATGAAGATCTATTGTACCCAACGGAATTTTTAAATAGCTTAAGATTTCCTGGAATTCCTAATCATGAAGTACAATTAAAAGTAGGAACTCCAGTTATGCTTCTGAGGAATCTAAATCAAAGTGAAGGACTATGCAACGGAACAAGATTGATTGTCACACATCTTGGTAACTGGTCTATTAGTGCAAATATCATCTCCGGAAAAAACATTGGCTCGAAAGTAACAATACCAAGAATTATTATGTCTCCTAATGATTCAAAGTGGCCATTCAAGTTAAACATACGTCAACTTCCTGTAACACCATGTTTCGCTATGACAATTAATAAAAGTCAAGGACAGTCTCTCAACCGTGTTGGATTATATCTTCCTAAACAAGTATTCACTCATGGCCAATTATATGTAGCACTATCCCGAGTAACAAAAAGACAAGGATTAACTATTCTAAATGTTGACGACGACATGGAAGATTATCATTTACAAAGAAGTATTTCAAAATATATGGCCTTAAAGCTGAAATAGAAATGAGGTATTTCCTTATTTCATCCCATATTTTTATTTTATTATGCAAATTCATAACTGTTCAACTAACAGTGTTATGTTTTGGAACAAATAGGTATACTTGAAGATTAATGCTGTAACTAAGCATGATTTTATCAGCGATTCTTAATAATTTGGTCCGTCTCAGAAGTTAGAGTACTCACCTTCGCAAAAACAAGTGTTTTATTTGATTTATTTATTTTAGTTGCTAAGGTAAAAAAATATCATCGTTCAACATTAACCATTTTAACATTCCTCAGGACCTTAATGATCAATGACTTTCACAAGATGAATCAACTCAGTAATGGCTTCTGATGTCTGGATGTCGCCCATAGCCAGGATGACACAGAAACTCTTGGGTGAACTGAGACAATAAATTAAAGTGGTAATGATTGGTAGCAGAAATTAAAAATATGTGCCTACATCTTACTAAGATTTGTAGGAAAAGAAGGGAATAATATGAGTATTTGAGGACGTACATGAGTTTATTCTTCCCGGCTAGGAGATTATCTTTAAATTATAATGGTAACAGGAGAATATATAGAGCTGCATATTGATAATCAGTACCGAAATGACGACATTGACGCGTTGACATGAACTGTTTGGTAAGTTCCTCCATACTTTACCCAAATATCCCTTTTGTGTATAACTTCTAATTGTGCTAACAATCGCTTATTAGTGCCTTTCGAAGTTGGCTTATGGTACCATAAACAGAAATTTTTTAACTAATCCTGTGAAGAAATGAGAATTTGTGAACTCTGCAGTTAAGGCAAGGAATTTCATTAGGATCTTCAAAAAGTAAGCTTCCTCTATGTCAATTTCTGGTGCTTTTATTTGCTCTTGCTCAGGTCTCTCGTCTTAATGGCACTTCAATAATAGGAGCTGAATTGATCAATTTCTGATTCTCTACTGGTTGTTGATTACCCAAAGGTAATGGCAGAGGCACGTGAGTGAAATTTTCCCTTTGATTGTTGTTAGTGGCTTTCTGTTCTGTTGCCTTAACAATGTTTTTCTCTTTCAGCGCCTTTGCTACTTTATCTTATATAATTTGAGGAAAATTGAAAAATAACGTGTTGGTACTTGGTACCTAATTATTAAGTTAAAGCTTGATGTTAGATGAATGAAAGCTTTATGTCCAGCTCTCTTAATTATAAAAAGGTTGTTTGCCTGAAACATGGAAGTCATTATCTTCAGTTAACAATCATCACAAGAAGGACCCTAATGGTAAGGGATTTTGGATTTCATCTGTTTGTTAAATTTTCCCTCTGACACCATGCATTTTTATCTTCTATAGAACTTCTAACTTGAGTCCAATATATCCTTTCAGTTAAATTTAGCATCAAGTCTTTCAAGGTGCCTGAGCTTTACATAGAGGTTCCTCAAACTGCAACAGTTGGCTCTCTGAAGGTATTCAGGGTGTCCTCTTTTCCTCCTCCTCTGTTGTATTCAATAGTCCCCCACCTCCCTAGGTTGACTAAGAATCTTCAGTTGACGATTTCTGCTTTGCTGAATGTTGAAAATTATTGTTCTTGCTGCATCTGTCAGTCAATACAGTTATTCATTTAATCTTTCTCGTCATTTAGTATGTCTCTGAAGCGCTTAATTAAGAATTCTCTGATATTCTTCATCCATAATTTTTAATTTAAGGTCCTCACATTCTTCTATTTTGTTAGTTGCCAATTCAGACTTAAATTTTTCATTACACAAAATTTCCTTACGATTACCTAAATTATTATTAAAATTAAATCATATTACCAATTGTACAAAGATTATTCAACTTCCCTAAGTTTGTACCCAAATCCCCTTTATATATACACTTTTTGACCACATAAAACTTTCTACACACCAAACTTTTTAATGTCATGAGTATATTTGTAATTTAGATACTTATTTTCTTTTTTTTTTTACTAATGTTATTTTATATGTACGACATAAATTGTTTTTTTTTCCTCAAAGTGGTAAAACACAAAAAAAATAGCGGATAGAAGCATACACTTAAATAAAATTGAGGACGTACATGAGTTTATTCTTCCCGGCTGGTAGATTATCTTTAAATTATAATGATAACAGGAGAATATATAGAGTTGCATATTGATAATCAGTACCGGAATGATGACATTGACGTGTTGACATGAACTGTTTGGTAAGTTCCTCCATACTTTATTCAAATCTACTTGGTAATGGGGTCTCTCATCTCTATGTGCACATTTTGTCAAATGACCCTTGTGGTTAAGAGAAAATGACAGATTGATATGGAAGAGAAATAAATATTTAAATATTTGCAAATGAATTGATGGTAAGATATGGACCAATAACACACAAGTTGGTAGGTGTGTTCAAAAGTTTGAAGCACAAAAAGTTAAAAACATTTTATAGATAAATCTTACTTTTTGTCTCTTCAGTCGCTCTGTTTCCTATTAGGAACTCTGATGTAACTGCAATATTAATTCTTCTTTTAGCAATGGGAAGGAGTCATTTTGTCATATTCACCATTCTTTTGAACTTACTGTAGCTTCTTGATCCTTCTTTTTCACTTCCCTTGTGTACTGCTTCAAGTAAGTTTCATTCAGTCCATTAGAAGTTCTATCTTGAAGAACTTCTTATTTGCAGTTAATCTATTGAGTGAATGTATCCGGTTTTTCAAATTTTATATCTGAACTATCACTAAATGTTTATCGACATACACACCTCAACTATCAGTTGTTCTCTTTTCCTACCTGAATGATGGTGATATTCTAGGTTGGGAAAGGGAACAACTGATAGTTGAGGTATGTTTCGATAAACATTTGGTGATAGTTCAGGTTGGGAACTCGGAAAAAGGAATACTTGATATGTGTTTTTGACCATTAACTCTTGTCTATTCTGTTTTTTTAATTTAATTGGTGCTACTTCATGTGTTACAAGGGCTCCTTTTCAGCAAAAGACTCCTCTAGCATTCCGTTCTTACAATGGAACCTCATGCTGCAACTCCACTGATGATAAACAACTTCAAACTCAGTTCAATGCTATGAACATTTCTGATTCTAGATGTGCTTCTCTTGTAAAATCTGTCATCTGTGCGGTAAGAAGATACTCTTATAGTTTCTTGCTCTTTCGGTTTCTGTTACTCCTATTTATTGATACTTGTACTTTGATTATCGTATTAGTATTTTGTTGTAGTTACTGTTTCTTTTTCGGAATGTTTTTTAATGCCATATTGAGTATATTGCCTTGGTTTTTTTGAGTCCTATTATTTTCTTGAGTCGCAGGTCTATTGGAAACAGTCTCTTCATCTCCGAAGGTAGGAGTAAGTTCTACGTACACACTACCCTCCTTAGATCCACCTGTAGAATCACACTGAGCATGTTGTTCTATGCGGTAAAAGGATAATCTTTGTGATTCCTTATAAATATCTTACCAAAATGAGAACACTTGAGTTTTGAACAAATTTATTTTCTGTTTTTGTTTTCTTGCTATACGAAGATGTAACTATGAGGTTTAACTCTAATCATTTTTGTATAAAGAACCTATATTATCACAACAATTAGTCCACTTCTAAGTATTTCAGCAACCTTTATTGGATTAAACCAAAACTCTGTCATGCCCCTTTTAACTCTTTCTTGTTTGTGAAGCTCAAAATGATCTATTTACTTTTAATAATCTGCTTCATGGTAGGTCTTTATTTAAATACTGAATCTAATCAAAGGTTAGAATATTTTTGTTTTGTATTAAGAAATTCGAATTATTTTGTAGTTTTTTTTGTTTCGATATATATGTTAACAACAATCGTTGTTTGTTGTGTTTTGGTTATCGCACTACTTTGTTGTTGTTATTGTTGTTCTTTCTGAATGCTATGTACTACTTATACCTATTAGTTTGTTGTGTTTTCTTAACTGCTATATTTCCTTTTTCATTTCGAAAATAATTTGTCGGGTAGTAGGGTAAGTAAAGGTTTGCATACACTATATTCTTCCAAAACGAGTGTACGTCAGACTTTACTATCAATGACACTCGACTCAAGTAACACGTATATAGCATTGTGAAAGGTAGAAAGATTATTTTTGAAAAACCTCGACTTAAGTAATGCACATCAAAGAAGTTTGAAAAAGAAATCGAGCAACGTAGAAATTAAGTACACACAGAAGCACCTATTGTATCAAATAGTACAAACTCATGAGAAATTTGGAATAAGATATATATACGACATGTATAGTGATCATGTGTTTAGATACTAGAATCTACAATTTAGACGTTGTGAATTCTAAGTTGAGATCTAAATTCACCTACATTTACTATAATTTTTACATATATATAAGGCTAAATATCGAGTTCTGTTGAACCTACAAACCTGTTGTTTGATCCACTAACGATTCAAGAAACTGATAAACAGTCTTGAATTTGCTCTAAAGAGCATAAAAGTAATCCTTCAACGTCTGTGATGTGTTTCTTCATCACAGGAACTGATCCTTTAACTCCACAGATTGCTTCATTCAGTTTTATTGCAGGCTGTTGAACCACTTGCTTCATTTTCTGCAGTTGAACATGAACAATTTGTTAGATAAGTGAGGTGAAATGCATTCGAAGAGGCATATTAAAATGAACGATGTTTGGAGGTTTTTCCAATGACAGTAGTTTTTCATCTGTATGTATTGATTTTCGGACTAAAGATGTTCAACTGACCATAGTTCACTAACTTTTGATATCCATTTTTCTCACCTTTTGCAGAAGTTTGATAAATTTTCAACAGAGCTGTTCAGAACTGATTCTGTTCCTCGACGACTTCCTATCTTGTGCAACTCCAAAACTTCAGAAAATTCAAACAAAAGTAGCCAAACTAAGAATGACTTTTGCTCTGAAGTATGGACTACATGTCAAAATGTGTCTATCATAAGTTCTCCTTTTGCTCCTTCTGTCAAGTCCAATTCCACAAAGTTGACAGATCTATGGAAATCACAAATTGGTTTCTGTAATGAGTTTGGTGGAGCTTCTGGGGTTGGATCAGTATGCTTTTGTAATTTTCTAAAGCATTTCCAATTTTGTTTTATCAATCTCTTTTGCACTGGTAACTTCATAATGATTCTGCAGCAAGCAAACAAATTGAGTTCGGGCCAGTGCAGTGATCACCTTAGCAAAGTTTGGTGCCTTGGTTGATTTATTAAAGGTAGAATTGTTCTGGTTTCAGTTTGTGTCATGACTGAATGTTGCATTTTCACTTTAAAACTGTTTCTTTAATATGCTGCAGCCTCCCATATTTGTGCTGTTGAAACGTTGTCTATTTGACAGTGATGATGAGGTTAGTCATTAGATTTTATGCCTTCGGGTAATTATTCTTTATATCTCTCTTTAGATTCTCTTTTTGAATACCAAGGAATCATTACGTCCTTAATCTCTAAACTATCATTGTGTCACTAACAATGGGTGTTGGATAATGTTAGGTGCCACATAATACTTCCTTAGTAGATAGACTTTAAGGATGAAATTTTCTTGAGTATAGAGTTGCCAATACAATTAAATTCAGCATATGTACACATCTAAAACATAAACTGGAGAATTGTAGGGGAAATTAACTTGATCCAAAAGTGTGAGAACTTTGGTGTTTTCGAATAAAATAAAATTCGGAGGGTCACTCTTTCACTGTTTCTGAATTTAGACTTGGTCGTCTGTTGTGTTCACTCTGTTGGAGAGAGGCACTTTGACTAAAGATAACGAAGTAAATGTTTGTTGAAGTGAATGAACATGCAGATATAGATGAGTGTATTGTTTTAGATACAGATCCTATCCAATTCTTGCTGAGCTTCTCCCTCTCAAAGAACCATATCTACTCTCAACCTTCTACCTCCCAAGAATCTAAGAGACAGGTTTCCATAAAACTCATTGTTTCATCTTCCTTATTTGTAACTCCAATGTATTAAATTGTGTATTAATCTGTGATAATTGCTCTGCTAATTAATTGTGTATTAATCTGTGATAATTGCTCTGCTAATTACTTTAGTGATTTACTCTCCCCTTTCATAACCATAATTCTTGTAGTATATATACATGGGTAGTGAATCATTCCCATATTCAAATTTACATTGTCTCTGTTTCTTTTAATTGAGTTTTAACAATGACGATTTCTTTTCTTTCAGAATTGGTTACTGGTACAGATGATTTTGCAATAAGAGTAAGAATTTGTAGAATGTGGAACGCCATTAATCTCAAGAAAAATGGTGAGCTTATCAGTATGGATATGATATTTATCGATGAAAAAAGGTACATTTCTGATTGATTCATTTACCAAATATTTTTTTTGGGGTAGTTTCAATTTATCAAATTACTTACTAATTACTTCTTCTATCAGGGTAATTTGATGCATGGTATAATTAGAAAAAATCAGGTTAACAGGTTCAAAGACAAGTTGAATGAAGGTTCTGTATTTATCATCAAGAACTTCAAAGTTGTTGAAAGCATTGGGGGATATAGACCTATTCAAAACTCATTAAAAATCATTTTCTTTCCCACAACTGCAATCAAGAATTTGTCTGAAGATATTGTTGAAATTCCAGTAAACGGTTTTGAATTTATTAATCCAGATGTCATTGACTCAAGGGTGAACAACAACATTGTCTTATCAGGTCTATATTTATACTTAAAGTCTTACCGATTACATTTAATGTAAATGCTAAATAATTGCCTAAACTATTCAAATAGAACACTTGCATATGAATCTTCCTCTTCAATTTTCGTAGATGTTGTTGGTTGTTTATATGAAATTGGTGATATCGAGAGTGTAGGTTCAAAATGGAAGAAGAGGGATATCCACATTCTTACTGATTAGTAAGTCACTCATCTCATTTTAAGTTGTTTTACTTTGTTATCTCCTTACCATAAAATTATTTGATCATTGATTTATGGTTTCTATGCATAGTTTGGCTAAAGCAAAAATTACCTTATGGGAAGAATTTGGGGAGAAGTTTTGTCCTTATTTGTATAACAATGATGCTGGCCCATATATGTGATAGTGACTTCTACAACAGTGAAGGAATTTCGTGGTAATTGTTACAAATTTAGTTGTACTTACTAGCAATTTAACTCCAAGCGTTTTAAAGAAATGACATGCTTTCATCTTTACCTAATAGGTGAGGTTAACTTCTCCACCACCTACGCAAGCAAAATATATGTGAATTTTGATATAGATTACATAAGATCTTTGGCTCCAAAATTTTCCACCATGTCCAATGAAGTTCAAATTATAAAAAGCTCTAATGTTAACAGTCTTCCTCGTGAGGAAGAGATGTTTTTGAACCGTATGGACATTAAGGAGTTGTTGGAGGCTGAGTGGAGCTCTGAACTACAGGTTCTTTTCTTATTACGCTTCTCATATAATTGGTTTACCATTTAAACATGATCATTACACTATTTCATGATATTTAATTAAAATTGCAGGAATACATTGTTACAGTGAAGAGCAAGATAATAGAAATACATAACTATTTTGGTTGGTACTACATTTCATGCAATGTGTGCTCGAAGAAGATTGAACCAACAAATAGTATTTATCGATGCCACAATTGCAACAAAGATTGCAAATTTCCTTTGGTCAGGTAACCATTTACGAAGGACTGTGAATTAGGTTTGTATATGTTGTGAATGAATCTAACTTATTATGTAAACATAGGTACAAGATACACCTAAAAGTGACAGATAGGACCGGAGACACTACTTTTATCTTATTTAATGCGGTGGCTGAGAAACTCCTTGATACATCAGCTCACAAGTTGTTCAACAAGCTTACTACAGCTAACAATGATGTGTCTGTCCAAGTACAAAGCCTTTGCGGGAAAGAATTTGTTTTTAAATTGAGATTAAATCACTAAAATTTGAAAGAAGGTCTTGAGAATTTTACAATATCAAAGCTTTGGATTCCAGATGATAATTTGGAAGTACAATACAAACTAAGGAAAGAAGAAAAGGTAATGCAATATAGACTGAGTTTGTAATTTACAATTACGTTTACTTTGTAATTTATTTTTCATACTGTTCTTCTTCCAGGGGAAGAACTTATCCAAAAATGAAACTGACCCAAAAGATCAGGGAACCAACGGATTGACCAAACAGATGGTAATTACATTTAATGTTTTAATATAAAAATTCAAATCATTTTAAGGATTAACATGGTTAATAAATATGTTGATAAATTTACTTTTTGAAGAACAATCAGGTATCTGTTGATGAGTTGTTGACTGACTTGGAAGATTATGAGGATGAAGCACATGTAACTAATTCTGCTAAGAATAGAAAACGAAGAAATCTAATCATAGATGATGAGGAATTAAGCGTTCAAGACACAAATAAGTTCAAGAAGTAAAGGGATTATTGTTGGTCATAAATGACGAGGAATAAGTGTGCATCACACAAATTAGTTGAAGAAGTAGAGTTATAGTTGTTGCTTCTGATCGTTTTCTGTTTTTTTTAGCTAAGTTTAGTTGTTTCGTCCTATTATAACTTACACTTTAGTTAATTATTTCGTCCTTTTACCATTTTAAGTTAGTTTAATAAGTAGCTCCATGTTGTCCATAGTGATGATTTTCATACTTGTATGGTTTTATCCAACCTTAGACAACTTATATTATTAATCTATTTCATTGTTTGCATATGATGTCGCTGTCAACAAAAAGGTGTGGTCTAATCAAGAGAACAACAACTCTGTATATGTGCCTCTTCAGTATCACCTGATCGATATCCGTCTTGAAGTCTAATATTTGGTAAACATGTATTGGTTCTCAACAATTAGAGATATTGGGGTGTTACTATGTAAGAATGCCATGTAGTTAGACCCGGAAAGTCTGATGTCTCCAAAAAGAAGACTGAGAGCTAATAAGGATAAAATGAGGTGACAATGACCAGAAACTGTTTCGATACTCAAACAAGATGAGAAGTTACTTGCAATTTAATCACTAGCTAGCATATCACCATTCTACTGTCTAGCCAATTTAAACCAAATTCAGATTTTAAAGCCTGATTTAACAACACCTTATGCTCTGCATATTTGGTTGTTTTTCTTCTCATAGTTCTATTATCTGGAATACCTATTCATCCTTACTTTAACTTTCTATACCTTCTTTTGTTATGCAATGTTTTCTGCATGATAGGCTCTTTTAGAATAAGAAAGGCATAAGATGCAAAGCGGCAAGCTTCAACTTCCTATTGCTGCTCTTCCTAAAGCAGGTGTTGATAATGAGGTAAGCTTGAGTTTAAACGCGGCTTGGGAGCTGATCAGAAGCTGTATTCTACCATGTGTACACGGACAAAAGTATCAGGAAGGCGGGCTTCTTTTATTCATGAGAGTGATAGGCTTGCTATTCCCAGGCATGCCTGCTCATTGTCCTCAGGATTATGTCAACTCTACCAGGCTTGGATCATCTGATCATTTGCAAAGTATCAAAAGATTGGCATAGTACCAGCATAATTATAAAATAATTAACTACCCATACCTCTGAGTACGCCATATCATGAAGAGCGAAAACGCAGTATGATATGATAATAGGAAAACAGTGTGTACCAGTAGAGGACAACTTCCATCCTTGAAGAGTGACAGGGCCTTAGTACGAGCATGTTGTTGCTTGTCACCACTAATAGAGACAACTTTCCAACCCCTGAGGCAAAGATACTTTAAACATCACAAAATGTAAACCTGATATGATACACAATACAATGAGCATGGTGCACCAATGTTGCCAGGGTCAAATTAGTTGGAACATGTATATACTATTATCAGCAAGTAATTAGAAGCTCGATATAGGAATCTAATGTTTCACAACTAAACAGAAGAGCAATAGAATTACCTTTTCTGTAGCATCATTTCTACACAAGATGCTTCCTTCTTGTATAAAACAAAAACCAATACTCTATTCCTGTTCAAAGTTTGCAACCTCTTGTAAGCATCCATTATAAAGAGTCCAAAAAATCAAATACCAAGGTTAAACGCCAATACAAATAATGCAAACACTATCCCAAATAACTAATGATTGTGGAATGTCTAAAACCATTGCTACGAAGAACGGCCTTGCTGAATCATGGTTATGTAATGTTTCCTGCAGTTCATGAGCTGTAAGGATGAAATCTACCAACCTTCCAGCTCAACGACTAAAGATGGGAAACCAAAGAAGCCAGAGGACAAAGCAGAGAAAGACGAATGGATTAATGTGGTTCAAGAAACAAGGAAAGAGCTGTCTAGACAGATCTCGCTCTCGGCTCTCAGAAACATTGCAACACTAAAGCAATATGGATATCTGAAACGATATATATATACATGATCATTTATCCATTAAACATTATATATGTATGTATGTATGTATGTATGTATGTATATATATATATATATATATATATATATATATATATATATAGTAATAGTATATCGATCCATCGCAATCTTATAAGTAAAGTCTGAAAAAATAATAATATAGACATACTTTGCCTCTTTTTTTGAGTTAAAAAAAATTGTTTTCGATAGATTCATTCCTTTAAAATATATAAATCACTATATATGCTTCCTCATCAACCGGTTTATCCAAAGGTAAAGGCTACGTTTAAATCGGATTCATCTGCACTCTCTTCGGTTCAGCAGGGTACGCGTTGATGTTATCAGCAACAGACTGAATTTTCAGAAACATAATGAAAAAACACACATTGAAAGAGGTGATGAACGTAGTGATTTGACAGTCGTTTTTTCCCCCGTGTGCTATTCTGATTGGACTATTCGCGAGCGCCGAATGGAGATGGATGAAAAGAGAGATGAATGAGTATAAGCTTGGAAGAGTGTCATATGTAATGACATTAGTGTGGAATGCATTAGCTTGGCAGATATACACAATTGGTTTACTAAGTTTGATATGAAAGTATCTGCATTATTTGCTAATGTGATTACTGCATTAAGTGTGCCACTAATTGCAGTACTTGCTCTCATTTATTTCAATGAAAAAATGAGAGGAGTCAAAGTAATTTCAATGATTTTGGCAATTTGGGGATTTTTGTGTTTTTTAAAATTTATTTATTTTAGTTCCTAAGGTAAAAAACATCACCGTTCAACATTAACCTTCTTTCAATTCCTGAAACTTATACAGAAGTACTACAATAGATAAGACAAATAAGGATTGCCCCCAAATAATCAATATAAATCATGATCAGAAAATATATTCTCTAACCATCAATCTAATAAATAATGATATGCCGTACTTGATGTAAATCTATAGATATTTTAGCAATCAAAACAAATAAATTTTTTAACAGAGTATATATTCTAAAATTTAATCATTAACAATGTATTATTCTCATTAAATAGATACTAAAGTTCATAAGTTTCATCATATATCATCATTTCAAATGAAAACAAAATGATATGCTTAAATAATATAATCATATAATGCATCTACAAGAAAAAATTTCCTATTACATTAATTAATCCGCGCACGAAGCGCGGACATGTTCCCTAGTATAATTATAATAGTAATATCTAATGATAATTTTATTGATGTCATTAGATGTTGAAGTTTTTAACAGATGCGGTGTGGTTATTAAAATTCACGCAATCATATTTATTAATATCACTAAAAATAATCATAACAATTATTATATTATCACCACTAAATTCTTTCATTTGTATAATAAATATAGCGGAGTAAAAAAGTATATCCAAATCATAACATCAAAAATTTTAAATTTTTCCGTAATATTCGATATTAAACTCAAAAAAGAAGTCCAAAAAGCATACTATAATTACTTTACATACAAATTAAAGTTGTTTTTGTCGAATTCCCCTACGGTTACAGTAGATCAACAATTATACGTGTCCCAAAATGAGGCATTCTCATTGCATGCAATGGCCGCCTGTTGAGCTTTTATAACACGTGCCCCCTTCCACCCTTCTATATAATCAATTTCCCCAAATCCACTCAATTCAATTCATACTCATCAATTATGGCTGATTACTATGGGCAACCCCAACATACTCAGCACCAGTTCTTCCATGGAGGACAGCAGCCTCGTTCTCACCAGATGGTCAAGGCAGCTACCGCCGTTACCGCCGGTGGATCGCTTCTTCTTCTTTCTGGCTTAACTTTAGCCGCTACCGTCATTGCGCTCACTATAGCGACTCCTGTGCTGGTGATTTTTAGCCCGGTGATTGTACCTGCTGTTATTACTCTCTTTTTGTTGTTCTCAGGGTTTTTGGCTTCAGGCGGATTTGGCGTAGCGGCGGTAAGCGTGTTATCGTGGATATATCGATACGTGACCGGGAAACGACCCCCCGGTGCAGATCAGTTGGAGCAAGCAAGGCATAAGTTGGCTACTAAAGCTGGGGAGATGAAAGATAAGGCTCAGGAGTTTGGGCAGCAGCACATCACTGGAACCCATCAGACTTGAGCTAGCGCTACTCTCTACTTCTAGATTTGTTTGTTCAATGCGTTTGTGTATGTTTTTTGTTTGTAACTTCTTTCAGCTTTTTTTGCGTTTTGTTAATTTTTGTGTTTTTACTACTGTTGCTACGAGGCTCGTCTTCATGATTGAGTCTGGCATTAATATTTTGTATCTGAAATATTGAAATAAATGGAGCTGATGTTGTACTTAATAAGTTGTATATTTAAGAAACTTTCATATTCCTAATTGTCCCAATTTAGATTATGCATCTTACCAAAAATATTTGTCTCGCATCTTACTTACTAATCTCTTACTAATAATCAATTATCATAAATATTGCAATGATAAAATAGTAGAGTTAAATTATATTGCTACTCCCTGACTCCTCATAATATTTCAATATATTTATGAGGAGAGAAAAGTCTGTAATACTTTTGATTTTTCTTTTAAGGTTAATTTGATCAACATATCAAAATTTTCATTTATTTTTTGGGACTCAATGTCCAGTTAAACGTTTGCCACATTTATTAATAGTTTTTTAATTATCTTCTTAAATTAGAAGCGCTCATCTAATATATGGAAGGGGTGGACTAATTAAATGTTTATCTGAAGTAGGGCGGTCATTTCGTTTGTCTGCATTACGTGTTAAATTTTTTTTCTCTTTTGTCTGCATTACGTGTTAATTTTATGAACACAACCGATTAGAAAATGTTCTATTAACTGTGAAGTTTGTTTTATTTATTTATTTATTAGACAGGGTGCAATTTATTTTAGAGGCTAAACAGCTTAAAATATTTGAAGGACACATAACTAGAAAATTTGGAGGATAGTACATAAATAGAAAAGGAGGGAGTATTATTGATGTAAAAATTATTATAAATTATAACAATTAGTAACTTAAAATAATATTATAAACCATACAGAAACTTGGATAGTTCTCTGATTTGTGGATAACAACTCTTATAACTTAAAGTTATATATAGGAGTCTTTGAAGTTGACGCATTATTTTGTTAAATGAAATTTTCTGGGTGCGACAATCTTGCAATTTTTTTGTAGAAGTTCTTTTACCGTTTTGAATTTTCTTTTCTGCTTTTAATTCTTTTAATTACTGTTTATTTTTATAAAATAACTTAAAGTGCTGAGATAAAAAGTTAGTAGTTTGCAAATATATAGAAGGACGGAAACATGACTTCATGAATAAAATAATGGAAAATGCCATAAATAAGTTCTCTTATTACCATTATTATTTATTAGTTTTACAAATTTTTAATTTTTTTTTACGTATCAAATTAATGTATCTCGTGCATCATATTAGTGTATCAACGCATCAGATTAATGTATCTTACACATCAAATTAGTGTATCATGCATAAAATGTAACGTATCTTATTGAAAGATTGATGTATCTCGCGTATCAGATTAATGTGTTAACGTATTAACGTTGATATTATTGTATCAGTTTAAAAGATTTCTGTAATTATAAACTGATAAAGGAAAAATGACAGTTTACCTTAAAAGTATGAATTTTGTCATTTTGATTCTTATTTCTTAAGATTTTTTTATAATTCGAGAAGTGTATTTTTCCAACGTAGGAGATTATATTTAATCTCTTTATAAATATCTCATGAATCTATGAAGTTATCGAGATTTCTTCGAGAAAGACATATTTAATGTTTTTATCATCTTTTTATGAATACACAAAAATATAAATATTCAAAAATTTATGAGATACTTTTCAATTGAGTATAATACTTTTATATAGACATGAAGTCAGTTGCGGAGCCACGTGTAGTAAAAGGGTGTCAATCGATATTCCTTCGTCGAAAAATTACGTTGTGCAGTTAGAATAAAAATATTTTTATGTATATTTATATTAAATTCTGACACTCCTTGACTTTTATATGATTTTTTAAAAATATTTTAACACTCTTTAGACCAAATTCTAGCTCCACCATTACGTAAAGTATGGTTGAATCTAATTTGAATCTCACTGAAATTGAAAACGTGTTATAGAGACCTCATTGAAATTGAATAGCTTTTTGCAAAGGTCCATAAATTTTCAACATTTACATTAATGAATGAGAAAAATAAATTAAAAGTAAGTAAAAAGGAATAAATATTTTTTTAAAAAAAGGTAAAAATTAGATATAGAGGAATTTTAATATTAATAATTATGTATATTAATTAATTATAAAATATCCAATTAATTATATTTCTTTCAAGTTTTTCGCTTCTCACTAGTGTTTTTGTTACATTTTATATTTCACTTGAAGGGATCCTTGTAATACCTTTCCTAATAGGAATCTTCAATTTTCTCAACCTAAACCTATATTTAACTTTTTAAATAGGACGAGGTTTGGGTGGTTGGAGGCTGTTTTTTTTTAGAAAATAGTAAATAACAAAAATTAATTGTTGAAATATTCATTTGAATTAGTCAAATATGTTTAAATTAGTTTTTCTTTTTACTTCTTATAATTTTAAATTATTTTACGACCAAAATATCACAAGTTCTCATTTAATTCACTATCCAACTTTGAATGTCAAAATGAGAAATGTTAGAGAAAATTTTCAAATGTCAATATGAAAAATGTTTGACAAATTTAAAAGGACCCATTGCGACTTTACCTATTTAGCTTTTACATGTCTTTGCTTCATAAAGAAAGAAAATAAATGACGAAAAGGTTTATTATCCTTTTTTAATAAGTCAAAAGTAATAAATAAAAATAAAAAAATATTTTTTTAAAAAAATTGTGGAAAATAAAAGACGAAAAAGTTTATTATCCTTTTTTAATAAGTCAAAAGTAACAAATAAAAATTAAAATATATTTTTTTAAAAAAAATTGTGATTAAAAGTAAACGAAAAAAATAATAAGAAAGCTAATGATATGCTATTAAATATTGTGAAATAAAGATAATAAACTTACCTCCTTAATAGAAGGTGAAGTTGTGAATTCTGCAATTCACAAATCCTATCAAAATACAACCCAACAGATCAAAGAGGCTATCGCAAGCAACAAATTTTGATAAGGTATAACATAATATTATTTTTATTTAGAAATATAACGACGTATGTAAAAAAAAAAAGAGTACAAAATCTTCATAAGATAATGAATATCTATTTTTAAAACATAAAATACTTTAAATTAAAACAATCAAATCTTCATATGAGTAAATAAAGGTTTTTAAAAATAGATCTAAGGTAATAAATGATGAATACATGACAAAAATCTTATTGAGATAAATTAATTATTACCATTATAAAAATGATATTGCTGTAAAAATTAATATCACTATAAAAGATAATATTATTATAAGATGTTTTAAGTTTTTTTTTTTAATTCAATTTTGACTAATTTTATCAAATAATTATTGCAAAAAAGAAAAACCAATTTTTATTGAATTTTTTTAGTGCACGTCAAAAATACTAGGTCGTCATTTCGTTTTTATCTATTAGTGTAATTCTAACGAAATACTTTTGAAAAATTAATATTTTTGAGAAAAGAAATTCTTTGAATTCTATTAGATAATAGAAATATCAAAATTCTAATTTACTTGATCGGTAATTCTATCCGCTACAATTATAGAATATTTAATTTTAAACAATTGTAATGTGTTTGTATTTGTATGCATGATATACTGGTCTATTAGAATTGATTCTTCCATGATAATTTATATGTTTCTTCCACTTTTAAAGTTCTCACAGCATGTTTAACCATGACTAGTGTTGAACATGATTTTTTTTTTTTGATTTTCAATTGTGAAAATTTTTAATATGGCATATATTAAACTAATATTTTCAAGTTATAACAGTAGAGCTTCAAGTTGTAATATAAAAAATTTCAAGTTGTTATAGTTTATTAAAAAAAAGTAAAATAATAATAATAAAATTTGATTTTTTAAAAAGTAATATAAGATAAAAACGGATATAATTGTAGTAATTAATTTGAATACATTAATGGTAATTAATAATTGTCATAAATTTAAGAGATTCAAAAAAAAATGTGAATTGTTTCAAAAGACAATTTTTTTTATTTCAAACGCTTCTCTCTCCTATATTGTTGATTTCAAATGTTCCTCTCTGCTCGAATTTATTTTTCTGTAATTGTCGTCATTCACGACTAGTTTCAAATAGTTTTAGTTCAACAATTTTCAATTTTTTTCGTAATGAAATATGTATTAATTAACATGATGGTAGATGACATCCTTCTGATTAATAGTATTTGCGATTTATTATTTCAATGAAACGTACAAAAAAAGTAAGAATAATGAAACTGAAAACTAAATTTTCTGATTTTATTTGTGTATAATATATTTAAATTCTGATATTTTTTGTATGATCATTTTTTTGTTTATATTACATAATAATTTTTGTGAAACTTGAATTAATGTTGGTATGAATAATTGGATGCCAACTATATACGGTTTGGATACCAAGTATATGGTGTTCATTTTGATCTCCAATTAAATATCAAAACTAAACTATTTATGTATTCAATTGTTATGTAGTTTGTGCTATCCAGAAATGTGTATCCAATTGATATATAGTTTGTACATAACTAATATATGAGAATCAATCTATAAAAACAGTGCATGCTATATATAATTCAATACTTAAAACTGCATCAAAAATAAATATATATCATTCAAAAGTTAAAAAAAAACAACATAAAATACTAAAGAATCTAAATTGCAATCAACTATTTCAAATTTGATCTTCGTAGTCTTGGGGTAGGATAGTTATTGATATCCGGCGCATGTTCTTTTGCTATGCAAGGTTCACAAAATTTATTAGCAACAGTCCAAGTTACTTCAATGATCGCGCCATTATTGTTTTTTATTTTTTCCGCATTGCTATCAACCTAGTTGGAGAAATTGAAAAGGAAACCTTCCTATTATAAGAAATTGGTATTATAAAAAATATCTATTTAATACCAACATTAGTCATAATTTATAAAAAAATAAAATAAAAAATGAGTAATTTAACAAACTACAATCAATTTTCATATCAGTATTATTCATGTTTCTTGTTAGATAAGTAGACATAAATGAGAATAACTTGAAAAAAATTAGCTTTCCTCTAAACTGTGTACCAACTTCATATCAGATTTAAACAAGTTTCACACCAAACATAAGTAACACATCATACCAATTTTGTACCAATTAATGTCAACATTAAACAAAATTCATACCGTACTCATAAATCGTAAATTAAGTCAACTATCATACC